AGAGAGCACCTTATCTATTATCTCGCATCCTATTGGGCAAACTAGATACAACACATTGGAGTTGTTGTATGTTAAGATGTTGGTTGATGACATGACATATTTTACCAACAAACTAATATATAAACTATTGAAGATGTCCTTAATAGCCTGTAGCCGAACACACGTGTGCAGGGTAAATGGCGCGCAGTCAGTGCAGCCCATTTTCGATATTTTAGTTTAATTTCCCTTTAGAAATTCATAAAAAAAATATGTAAATAAGAAACAAAGTAAAATAATAAAGTTAGAATATTCGAGTGTTCTAATCAATATACTCCCTCCGTAACTACTTTAGTGATTTAAAAAATCTTAGTATATTTCTTTACAAAGGGAGTACATACAAATAAAAAACTTGCTTTTTTTAAGAAATGCCATGATGGCTAGTTTTATTAATTTAGAATATTGTATATCCTTAGCAAGCAAGTAAGCAACCAGGGTCTAGGGGGCTCATCGTCCCAAGGACAGGATAAATTATTATGAAAAGCAAGGCCTCATTTGGTTTGGGTGAAACTAAAATGTAGGAATTAGGAGTAGTATAAGAATTTAACAGGATGACACTTACCATTCTAAGGAATTGTCTTGCCTCTTTTGTACGCACAAAATGAATTTTGAGTAGATGTGTATATTCCTCCAAAAACATAGGAAATGAATAGTATTTCTACAAAATTCTCGTACGCGTTTCCTACAAACCAAATGCATCTATACGAAAATTTCCTACAAAATCTTTGTTTCTATATTTTTTCCATAAAAATCCTCCAAACTGAATGAGGCCTAAAACGAGCTAGCTCATGGGCCACTCCATTGGTTTATCTGGGTACATGCTTGAATTCCACCGTGCCAATTTGTAGTGCTGTATCGTCCACACAATACGCATAAACAGCCGAGTCCCACCTTGCATGTGTCCTTTGCAAAAGAAAAGAAAAAAACAATCTTTACTAAATAACTCCTTTACACTGCATTTCATGGGGAATTTTGCATTCACTACTTTTGCAAAGAATCATAAGGATTTTCTATGATACAATCCAACAAATGAAATTACTGCAGGATTCGAACATACATGACATAACAATATTTTGTTCTTTCTATTCCTGTGTTCTGGAGAATCCTATGAATCAAAGAGACCCTAATATAGCACAGCTATACATGCAAATCAATTTCGAGTGACCCGGTGCCTCTAGAATAGAAAGTGAGGTAAACATAAACAACAATATTTATATATAAAGTCTTAAGTCTCTCGAAAAGAAAAGGAGAACATGACGTGGGTGGATTTTTGCGGGTAACAGCTTATCATTCACATCATTCAGCAGGATGTTCTTAAGCAGCCACAAGAATTTGTTCCAGGCTGTAATATACTTCCCATGGTAAGTATGAGAGTACTCAAGGATCCTTCATTTCTGCTTTGTAGTACAACTGAATGGACCAGAAGACTGAAAAAAGAGAGCTTATGTTTCTGCTTTACAACCCAAAAATGAGACAAAGGATCAAATGACTACGTATTCTCTTGTCAACAACTGATTCTAGGTTAATGTGTAGGAATTAGCCACCATCCTCCGCTCAAGAGAACATGAATTGAGTGCTCTGGTATTATTGATCATTGAGATTCTTTGATTCTACCCCAGCATCAGATGAATTAAGCTCCTCTCTGGCAAAATCATCATTCATATTTCGTCGTCCCACCCTACAATGTTTGCAGTGGCCTCATTGACCATCTTCACAAGGGTGGCCTGAAAAAAAATGTAATTTCAGATCAGAAAACAACCATAGGAAGGGATTTTACATTTTATCACGAAACGCTAATTTAAATTGTAACGGATCCAGCTGTACTAAGCTCTAGCGCATGTCAAACTGAAAGAAGAAGAAAGATACTGATAAAGAACAAAGTCGTCCAACGTAAATTTCTGCAGGCTGTCTAGCTTTTGCATCAACTTTTTTGTCTATTGCCGAATGAATTTTCCATTAACAATAGCAGCAAATCCAGAAGAATTGTGAGAATTTCAATAGCGTAACACCCTAGTTGGATAGCGAGAAGCAAAGGTTCAGAAGTTTTATGACCGACCCGTAATTGTTTTTTTATCAGATTGACGTATAGATCACAATAAATAATCCATTGACACGGCCAATTCAAAAATTGCATATATTATATGATAGTGCACATGAGATATCATGGTACCACATGCCACTTATAACATCTTTGCTGGAATCACAGCCTGTAGCAGAAACTTGCATAAGGACGCTACTGCGCCACCAACTGATGCAAAATGCATATATGCCAGGTTCATGTTGAAGTACGTACATCTATGTGCCAGTAGTAAGTGGCAAAACTCGTCTTGAAAACAATGGCATGAGACTGATATTCACAAAGCTCTCATAGCACAATACAAGTGCATTAACTCATGCTTCATTGGAAGAAACTAATGGAGAATCCCTTCTACTAATGAGTGGCTAAGAACTAAGCGAATCCCTTCTACTAATGAGTGGCTAAGAACTGAGCGCAGCTCAGTTGGCTAGCGGCTTCTGTGCTTGAATATACACAACACAGCCCACCTGGATTCGAAACATGCCACAGGTGCTAGTGCCCCATCAGTAACGTTTTCTTTTTTACTGGGTGGCTCAAAAGATGCAAAAACTAATACCAATACATCATTCGCAAGTTGGCTACATGCATGTCCTGGCTCATGGAGTAAAACTTTATATATTGGGTTACAAGCTAATATGGTATGGAATTCCCACTGAATCTTTGGAGAAGATGATGTGTCCAGCCGTCCAGGCTTATTTGACAATAGTCTTCTGAATACATGCATTAGTTCCTTCACTCTGTTATAGACCTGGCTGGGTTTGGGTCAAAATGTAGGACAGTCGCCCTTGATCTGGTCATGCCATCTGCCAAGGCTATGAGATATGATTAAAAAAATGACCAGGAACTTGTGTACACAAACGTAAGCTTAACCAGATAAGTCCTAAAAATAGATTGACAACCAAATTATGACATTCTTTAAGCCATAATCAACAAAGTTTTGCAGCTCAATCTTCTTCATCTCCCGATCCATGCTGCCGGTGATGATTCCCCCAATTGCTCAATACGCTGACGATACTCTTCTCATTATCCAAGCTTGCCCTTGTCAGCTCCTTTGCCTCAAAAGGTCTTTTAGAGCTTTTGTCAATCCACTGGCCTTCTTCAGGTTCAACTTCCATAAATCCAGCATTCACCCCATCAACATGCCTGAGGACAAAATGGCTAATTTAGCCGGTCTGTTTGGCTGCAAAATTGAGTCAATTCGTTTTACCTACCTAGGACTCCCTCTTGGTATCACTAGACCGAAAATTAGGGATTATGCCCCCTTCATCAATCATATCGACAGAAGATTAGCTTCCAGCTCGTCATTCATGTCTCTCTTAGTGGCCAAAGCTGGTGATAACCGCTCCTCCAACCTTTTACACGGGTACCTCAGACGTCCCTGATGGTGTCAAAGACATTGTTGATATATCTAGAAGAATTTGTGTCTGCGGTAAATCTGAATTCTCCAATAGACCTATAGCTTTGGCAGCCTGGTCTAGTGTTTACCGCCGCAAATGCAATGGGTTTCTTGGTATTATCAACCTCTCTGCTCAGAATGAAGCTCTGTTGATGAAACATCTCTTTAAATTCTATAACAAGGACAACATCCCCTGGGTCAATCCCATCTGGAATTACTACACCAATATCCCTCCTCATGCATCTAGGCCCATGGGATCCTTCTGGTGGCATGATGTCTTCAAAATTTATCACAAATTCAGACAGCAGGCTCTTGCTCTATTGCAAGAGATATTGCTCTCATCTAGAGCGGCAACTGATCTGATCACCTTTTGAGGAGAAGATTTCCCAGGCTTCATTCCTTTACCCTTGATAACCTTATATTGGTCCATGACGTGCTTGCTGTCCAATACCCTTTTAGATCTTTTTCATTTTCCTCTGTCCAGCTAGGCTTTTGATGAATTCCATGAATTCAGGCAATATCTGTCCAGCCTGCATCTTTCCCTGATGTTGCTGATTCTTGGTCCTTCTTACTGGGGTCAAAATTCTCTTGTAAAATATATAGCACCTATTTTCAGCACATTCAGGTCCTTTTACT